AAAAAAATTCACAGATTTTAGTCCGCTAGATTATTTTTCTAATGTAACTCTCTGCTATCGAAATACTGAATTTTAGGTAATACTCGGAAAACTATTTAAATAATATCTAATAGAAAATTAAGAAACACTTTGATAGCAAAAAGTTATTTAAAAAACAGCAGTAACGAATTTTTCATTATTATTCTACGAGAGTCTATTAAGTTTTTATAACTCTTACAAAGTTTTTTCACCTAGAAATAGTAATAAAAAAAAACAAAAACAACACTATTGAGAATAAATATGTCGTAAAGAATTAATATAGAAAATTTCCAGTGTGGTTCACATATGAGTATCCGATAAGCAAAGAAAAAAAAAGAAAAGCTGATTCTCTACATGTATGTCAGAACATCAAATTCTCGAAGTTTATTACTTCTTATTCCTTTAAAAGAATCTCGTTATATTTTCTTTAATGTTCGTTTTTAGATCAAATTCAAAAGAAGTTTTTCAATCCTTCAAAAACCATTATGATGAAAAATAATCATCTTCTATTATGTGTCATAATACATGTAGAATCGTTTTTCTTTGTAATGACGTGCAGCATATTGAAATGCTATTCGTTCGAACATTTTGTCTAGAACGATATACATATCTTTTATATATAAATTTTTGATCAATATAATACAGTTGTCGATACAGTAAAATATTCTTAATTATATATAATAGTTTTGGGTATAATCAAATAAAAAAAAATTTTTTTTCTTCATATAACGAATCAAACGTGTTTTTTTTATTAACCATACGGATAAATATTATGGTATCGAAGTTTTCTTTCATCATGAAAAATTTTTAACATAATATATATTTTCGGGTCAATAATCATATCTTTTTGATAGACATCTCATTTGCTAGGGACAAACTTGAAAATGAAGATGTAAAGATTTGTTATCTGTCAGCCAAAAGTAATTATATGATTCAAGTTCTCATAGACGACTGCTCACTTTTATCAAAGTTTATTTAAATATATTTTCAAGTTTTAATAACCTTGTCTCTTTTTTTCAATTAGAAAAAAAATAATAATTCATAGTCAATGTTACGATTGTATTTCATTTTTAAGGTTCAAACGATAATTGAAAAAGTTGTATGTATACATACATATATATGTATGTATATTAAATATTTCATATCTAAATGCATTCAATAAATACAATTGAATGATTTCAAAAGTACAGATGTTTTCATACGATCAAGAAGAAAAAGAAATCTATCTGTCAAGATTTTTTCGTTCACTCAATTATGTTAAAATTTCTATATAACTAAAGATAAAGTACATGTGCAATATTTAGCTTTTTTTTACTGTTCTTCATCAGTGAGAGCACTCGAAATTGTAGTATTGAAAAAAAAAATCATCAACGTAATCAATCATGTACAAGTGAAAAAAAAAGTAAGAAGAAGAAAGTAAAACCATAGGTATGTTAATCAAGTATGCAAAGAAAAATATTTATATTCAAAGTTCTACATCGTTTGATCATTGTTTCTGTTCATGGTTGAATTATTGCATAGGGTATCGGCGACAGTTAATTGAAATAAACATAAAAAGTCGTAGATATTTACAATAAAACTATGAGATTTGTGATCATTTATAAAAGAAAAAAATTGAATGAAGACGTCTTGGACGGATGAAATTGATACAATGGAAAAAAAAAACAAAATAATCTTACATCAAATTAAGTTCTTGTCTTTTTTTTTTCTAAATTCCTATATGCATTGATCGTTGACGTAGAAGAAATATAAATAATGGTAAAAGTAGAACATTTTTTGAAATAAGAATAAAATTAACATATTTCATTATTATCTTTCCAATTGGTTGTTGTATTCGTTTAATTATATTTGTTAATAATGATGATGTTGATATAATAGGTGGTATTACAATAACATTTGGTGAACGTATACAATTTGTACAATAATGTATATGATTTTCATTTTCTGAATGAAATAAATCATTTTCTGAATAAGATTTTAATTTTATTGATTGGTGTTGTTGTTGTTGTTGTTGTTGGAAAGATTTTCTTGAACGATCTAATGATTGATAACCAGATGATAGAAGTCTTGAATCTGTATATGTTAAATCTTCATCACCACTTGGTGATAATTGTGTTGTTATATTATTAAATTGCATAACATCAACATCAGACAATGTATCAAGATCATCACTACCTGTATCATCTATAGATATATGAAAACCATTACTTGCTGTTGTTGTATGATTTGTTAATAATTCTTTTCGATGATATGAATTTGGAGATGTATGAACTTGAAAATGATTATGAATACTTTTAAAATATAAATAATATTATTGTTTTAAAAATAGAATAAAAACGAAAATTATCTATTTACTTTCGGGGTACATCATTATCATTCTTGATTATTTGTTGTTGATTATTTGTTCGCATGAACGTTCGAGTTTCTTCTTCTTCTTCTTCACTATATGTATCATAATGTTCACTTAGGATAATATGAGGTGATGAAGACAATGATGTAGCTTTTGATGATTGTTTATGATGATGATGATTTGAAGATGATGAAAATTTTCGTTGTTGATAATTTGTATTATGATTCACATGTTTTAAATATGATGATGTTGATCGATTAGTAAATGCTGATGATACAGAATTTCTTCTTGAATTTGTTACTAGTTGTTGAACACAATTTGCAAATGCAAGTGGTTCCGTTTCACTACGTAAACGACCATCTTCAGTAAATAATTGTTGATACATTATTTCAATAAATTTTAATGGATCTTCAACATCAGGTACATCAAGTGAAAACGATCGTTGATAATGTGAACTATTTGACATAGCACGTAATGGTGAACAATCGGATGTTATTGTTGTAATACTAGGTTGTCGACTATAATGATTTGTCGAAGCAAAATCATCATCAGTATGAGTAGATTTTGTTCTTGATGTTGAGTTTGATGTTGATTTAGTATTTTGACATGATTGTTCTTTATGAGTATTAACAAAAACAGGTTTATAATTAACAACAATAATATTTTTCTTATGTCGAAATTTATTTTGTTTGTTATTTATTTTTTTTTCTATTAATGAAACTAATTCTTGAACATTATTCGATGATGATGACATTGGTTTATGTGAATTGATTGATGATGATGTATGTAGAAAACGACGTTTTCCTCGTTTAATCGTACGTCGTCGACGACGAATAAAAACGCGAATACTTTTTTTTTTGTTTATTATTGTATTAGAAGTCTTCGTATTACCATGACTATCAGCCATGGTTAAACGTGATTTAGACTAAAAATAAAGTAGGAATAAAACACTAAGTAGTATGTTTTTGACTTAAATTGAAAAGATTTAAAGAAAGAAAAGAAAAAAACTACATATATATATATAAATATATATATATTGATATGTACCTCGTGTTTTTGTCGTTGCTGTTGGTGTTCTAATGATGTTTGTGTTAAAAAGCAAATTTTTTCTTTTGCTCTATTATTGTTAGCATACCTTGGCTGCTCATAGGGATAAAAAATGGCGTTCGAGTCGATTGTAGGAGTGTCGACAGTAAAATACTGAAATAAAGAAGCTTCTGTCGCTTCTGCTCCAGTGGTTGATGATGGTGATTTTTTGTTTCGTTCCTTCTTCCTTTTCTTTTTTTTCTTTTTTTTCTTTTTACTTTTAGTTTTCCTTTTCAACCTTGTTTGTTTTCTGTGCTGACGACGAATAAAGCGGTCTACCGTCGATGCAGCTGATGATGATAAAGAACGTATGACTTGTTGATAGTCGTCGTCGTCACTATTGTTCACAAGCATGTCTCGTTGAAAACCACCGTCATTCTGTTTCCATTCTAATTTTTTTTTACTGGAAAGAATTGAAGAATTATCAAGACTTTTCAATGTTGTCGTGTTATTAGTCGTATGGTTATTATTATTATTATCATTTTGTTTTTCACAAGAAAATGAATCGCTCAGTAATGTGAGATTGTTTTTTAATGATGTTGTTGATACAAGAGATAAATTTGATGTATTTGTTTTTTGCTTTCGTTTTCGTTGCCAACGACGGGAGGTCAACAACGAACGGGAGAAAGATATGTTGTCTTCTTTTTCCGACGGTATAAATGCGTCAGAAGAATATGAAGAAGATTTGTCGTTTTCTTTTGAATCATAAACTGTGTTCATTGATAAATCTATTGTGAAACAAGTCCACTTATGCGATGATACTTGTTTTAGTAAAGGATAATAATTATTATAAGTACAATATGGAATGACTGTCGAAATGATATGTGACGATGTGAGTCGTGAAGGACAACAAAAGAATAATGAAGATATAACTAAATGAAAAGAGCAAATGAAAAAGAAGAAACGAAAGAAAAGAAAAAGAATGAATAACTGACAACATCAATAAATTGTTTTTAAAAATATGAAAAAAAAGGGAATCATATATATATGTATCTATTTTAGATGATGAAAGTATACCACATCTATACTATTGTGGTTTTTTTCTGATTTCAACAGCGTCAAAATCACCATACCTCAATTCAATATATATAATAGGCTTCCTATTGACATAGTTTTAAAGTGTGAAGACATAAACCAAGCATATAAGGTTTCACTATGCTTTTCGTCTTTTTACAATGAAACTATCTAACTCAGTCTCTTGTTAGAGTTTTGTGTATAATGCATACATCTTAAGTGACACATTTCAATGTAAAATAAACTGTTCCCACAGCCAGATATATGCGTGCATTTATAAAATAAAAAAGTAAAGAATCCTATCCCGAAACTAGTGTAATGTACAATAAACAATACCTGCCCAGAGGGCATGCAATCATGTGTCATCTTCATACAACTAATAATATAGATAAATATCATTAAACATATGAAAACAATTTTAAATTAAAAATTAAACTACACACTTGGAATAGATCGAATATCATCATTAAGATGCTTGCCATGGTCATCGGATAAAAATCCTAATCGAGATGATTTAAAGGAGTGTATCGGCGAATATGATCGATCATCATGTATCTCCTTTCTTTTCAATACCTAATATAACAAAAATAAAAAAAATCGTGAAAAAAAAACGATTATTTTTTGTTTTGCAGAGTACAAAGATATTCTCATTTTCTTTTTTTTTCCATCAATGAAATATGATATTCTCGACATAAGTTGATATAATATTTCAATACATTACTGGAATAAAAATTGTTTGGTTTTTCTTTAATGATGTCATTTCATTCTGACATGATATTGATCGAAATTTACGAAATTCAATACTACGATTGACAGTTGCTTTTGAATATAATAATGGTTTGATTTGTTTTGGATATTCTCGTTTAATTAATGTAACATTAAATTCAGTATCTATTTGTGCTACGTCATCATTATTATTATTTGATGAAGCTGTTTCTATAACTTCATTATTATTGACTTCAATGATATTTTCTAGCGTTGGTTCAATAGATGATTGACAATAATTATTACGACTTATTGGCACTTCTCGTGTATTTGTATATGTAAATGGTAATGATATTGTCGAACGAGAATGATTGACATTTGATTGAAATTGTTGAACAGCTGGAATCGAAGTTGATGGTTCTAAAAAGTAACATTTATTTAATTGATTATAAACAAAGCAACCATCAGCAACGAAAAAAAAACTCAGATACTAACCAGATGGAATTGCATTGACATCATTTAATTCTGCTGTATCCAGAGCATCTTCTGATCGTTGATCAAAATTGAAAGAATGATTATCATCTTCATCAAACTTATCAGATTTAGTTTTAGTATTTTTTGGTATTATTGTATCGGTAGCTGTCGGTCGAGCAAGATTAACACGATATTCATTCGCTAATCTTTGTGCTTCTTGTAAATATAAAAGACTTTGTCGATAAAGTTCATCATAACTAGTAGGATAATCTAATTTTGAAATATCTATTGCATTTGCATCAGTTTGATTCGAAATTAATGATGAGCGTCGACTACAATCTATATTATTTTTAATATATTCACATTCGTCTATATGATCTTGCATTTGTTTTTGTTGCCAATCTATCCAAAATCTAAGAAAACAAAAAACACATTTTGTCAATTTATTACTTAGATACGATTTATAAGTGTTTGATTTTTGCAGCTAACCTTTCAGGTATTTTATGAGCACGTTCAAGAATTTTTGATGATAAATTAAATCTTTGATTAGCTGTAGAAGAATTTGATGAGCCTGAACTAATCGATATACTTTGTCGAAATGGATATGCTGATATACTTCCTCGACTAACATTTGAATTTGGTGTTACAGATGAAAATGGTGAATAAGTTGTTGGCATTTGATAGAGAAGAAGATCTGGTACGATTCCTTTTTGAAGTTCTCGAGCACGTTCAATTAATTGATGAACTTGATGTTTTTGATTTGATGTATTTCCTTTAGTCGATGCAGTGGATGTATTAATTAAAACTGGTCGACATTTTCGTTTATATTCAGATTTGTCTTTTACATTTTGCCTATTCAGTTCTCCAGATTGATGTGTTTCATGAACAGGTTTCCACTGATTAGTACTAATATGTGATTTATTTGCTGGATTATCATCATTGAATGTCGGCATCTCCTTCTATGATCATATAATGAAGTTATAAAACAGAAATGTTGCATATATTATATATAACAAAACTAATCGAAAAACGAATGCTGCTTATTTTCGACATTATCCTTTTTCTTTTATTGCATCTACAGGTATATATGATTTATACATCCATAAAATTGATGAAATATATATATCGATAGCCTATAATTATTCTTACCTCGCTGAAATTATTTCTTAATATATCAACCATTAATTATTGAATATAGAAGAAATAAATTCTTCTATTTTCTTATTGATAAGTTACATATGAGTTTGTAGTTTCTTTTTCTTAAACTTTTTGTGTTTTTCTTTAGTTTAAGGCACCAGCTGGTTTTATAGATTGTTAAATATGATTCTTTTTTATTTTTTTTTCAAAGACAAAAAAAGAAAAAAAACATCGGACTATGCAAAAAGAAAAGACAGATGGATAACAATAACAATGTAACAGTCCGATATTTTTGAAAAATTATTGTTGTGCATGGGTTGTTTGTTGTTCAATAAATTCTGGATAATGCGAACATACTTCACCCCAAGTTATTGTACCGCTTGAAAGGCCTTGAAGAATATTTGTTATTTCATCAATCTATAAAATATAATCAAAAAAAAATTAAAGAATGTAGTGTCTCTTAAGGCAACCCTACAAAAAAAATCAATTTGCATCAAAAAAGAAATCGAAATTGAGATCATAGTCTGTGATCTGATTTTTAATAAGCGACATGATGTTTTTTTTGCTATTCAGCACTTCTTTCTGTCATTATCCACTTGAAAAATACGCTGATTTTTCAGAAAAAGCGGAAAATGATTGTTTTTCTTTAGATGAGTGCATCTCAAAATTCTCGAAGGAACTTCATTGTACTCAAGTTTTGTGTGGAAAGAGCACGTGACTCCCAAGTACCCGTTTTTTTTTGAATACAGCTATTTTTATTATTATATAAAAAAGTACTTCTATTAATAGTTGATTATTTTTTCGATGTTCTAGACTTGTTATCTTTTCTCTTCGTAGAAAAACTAAGAATTATAAAAAACAAAAAGGAAACTTTAGTTTGACATGTTCTTTCAAAAAAATCAAACAATAAATCTATAGAACGAGAATCCACAGAAAACAAATAAACTAGTTTTAACTCTAGTTTGTGAAATATATCTCGAAAACGTAATGATATAGGACTAAAAAAAGTTTATCATAGCTTCTCTACTAAAGTCTAAACATATTCTGAAAGTTTTATATGATTTGAAAGCCATTGGCTCAAGATCGATTTTTTAAGGAGTGAACTTAGAAAATTACTTTAGCACGAATTTGTTTAAATGTATCACGTTCACGTAATGTGATTGTATACGGTTGTTGGAGTGTATCAAAATCAATTGTAATTGCAAATGGTATAGCTATTTCGTCTGAACGTGAATAACGTCGGCCAATACTACCACTGCTTGTATCGATTTTATGAGTAATACCACTGTGTGTTAAAAGAGCAGCTATAATAAAAGTCATTAGTTAAAAAAAATGATCACAAAAAAAACCAAGAAAAATGAAACCTACAAATATCTTTAACGAATGGTTTAAATTCTTCATTTCCACTCAGTGGTAAAATAACACATTTATAGGGTGCAATTAATGGTGGTAATGTAAAATACTAAACAATGTTTTAATAAAAAATTTATACAAATAAAAAAGAAAAAGTTTTAATTACTGTTCGTTGTTCACTTTCCGGTCGAATTCGAAAGTTATGCTCCCACATAGCATACATTATGCGACCAATACCAAATGAGGGTTCAATAACTGATGGAACATATTCTTCGACTATAATTCATATATTATAAACATATAAGAAGATTTTGTTTTTGTAATTATTTACCTTGTACTGTTTTTTCAAATGTTCGAAATGTAAACATTTTTCTTGTTATACTATATTCTTTACCATCAATTGTAACTTTTTCATCGCTAGAATAAATAAAAAAATTGTTAGTGTAATCCTTGCGAGATTTAAATATGAAACACAACGTAACTGCTCTTGGTAATCACAAGGAAAATGTTTTATTCTATCTATTAATGGATCAAGTTGTTTCACGATCATTTTATTAATCTTTCAGAAATACACTAAAGTAATTCATATATTCTAATGAAACGTTCTTGATATACGGACTGTAGAGAGCTGTAATGCGAATGTAACTATACCTATACTCTGATAGACCTTGGTAGACTCTATTGAAACTCTTGATACAAATCTATAACAACTAGATTATTTTATAATTAAATTAAAAAAAATACTCTATAATTCATTTAAAGTTTCCTAACGGGCTATGGGGGTGGTGCAAATATTCTTCCTATATTCGTTAATACACCCTTTGGATCGTATTCTACAAAAATATCATTTTCTTTTTTCCCTACAGAAGATATAAATATATGTTACCCTTTTTCAAGTTTGTCATGTAAAGTTCGTGCATCATCATGAGATAATTTTTGTAAATGTTGCGTTATTACACCTGTATCTTTACCAAATGTTTTACCAATAACATTTGCATGTGCTTGTACTTCGCTAACTTCTATTTTCTTGGGTGCTG